TCTCATGGGGAGTGGCAGATAATACACATATGTGACAAATTAAATTTACAGATAATTTTTAAAAATCTCATTTTAACCACACTCTCTCCCACCCAGTAATTTATCAAAACTACTTAGGAAGCCTAAAGTATCTGATTTGTTTCTATGGTCTGCCGCTGCCTCTGGTGGAGCTGCCGCCAGCAGAGCGAGGAGCAGGCTGGCTGCGGGAGGGAGGAGGCAGGACTGGACGGATCTGCGTGGCGAACGTCCGAACTCCCCAACCACCCAGAGAACTGTGCACGGGGCGCAGCTTGCACGTCACCCAGCGTCCCGTCCTCAATGCTGGGCCGCATCTTCTTACTTTAGGGAAATACAGGCAAAGTACCCACACTTCTCATGTAAAACCGGGAATTAAAGCATCCTTTACTCAACTGTTTTAGTATAAATACAATGTTGTACAAGTATAGACTCTTTGGTAATAAAGAACTAACAGTGGTAAAATGGAGCAATCACGGCTCGTGGCCCTTCTCAGAACCCCAACATTCCTCCCAGACATAATGGAGCTTGTCATCACCAGCCAAGCAGAGGACAAGGATTTGATTTCCAACAAAGATAGACGATCCATGCTCTGCAACGTCTGAGCCAGAAGTGTCGCTTTTAATTTTTTACATATTCCACGCTTCCAGCGTCTCTCCCCCCGCCCAAAATTAATGACAAACATCCAATCCTGTGTGCACACGTGTGCATAAGTGCATGCACGCGAGCACACACACACACACATACACTCTGAGGTTCTCCCAAAACACACGTGCCCAGTGTCGGTGGAGTCTGGCCTCTATCAGGGCCTGTTTTAAGACAGAAGCTCTGTTTTCCCCACTCTCTCAGGGTGGCATGTCTTTCAGGACAGCCGCTGCAGCGGTGAGGCCTCTGTCTCTTGGGGCAGGCTCAGCCACGGGGTGTCTTGCTAGTTCCTAAAACTCGGGGGGATGACGGAGCTTAAATAAGACACTCAAGATTAAAGACAGGGCTGGGCGTGGCGGCTCACACCTGTAATCCTCGCACTTTGGGAGGCCAAGGTGGGAGGATCGCTCAAGGTCAGGAGTTCGAGACCAGCCTGAGCAAGAGAGTGACTCCCCCGCCCCCCGTCTCTACTAAAAAATAGAAAGAAATGATCTGGACAACTAAAAATATATGTAGAAAAAATTAGCCGGGCACGGTGGCGCATGCCTGTAGTCCCAGCTACCCGGGAGGCTGAGGCAGGAGGATCGCTTGAGCCCGGGAGTTTGAGGTTGCTGTGAGGTAGGATGACGCCATGGCACTCAAGCCTGGGCAACAGAGCCAGACTCTGTCTCAAAAAAAAAAGATTAAAGACAGGAAGCAGGGCAGAATTTCAAAGGCAAAATAACCAATTTGGGGGGTTTTAATATAAGTAGCAAGTTTTGTTTCTCACCTCAAAAAACTAAATGATCTCTCCGAGTTAGGACTTCAAACCCAAGTTCTGGAGAGACTTTGTCCAGTACGCTGTTGTGAATGGGGCCTACCCTGACCTTGAGCTGGCCATGCCTGCCTTCCTACTAGCTGTCCATCCTGTCTTTTTTTTCTACATATATTTTTAGTTGTCCAGATCATTTCTTTCTATTTTTTAGTAGAGATGGGGGGGGTCTCACTCTTGCTCAGGCTGGTCTCGAACTCCTGACCTCAAGCAATCCTCCCGCCTCGGCCTCCCAGAGTGCTAGGATTACAGGCGTGAGCCACTGCACCCGGTCCATCCTGTCTTTTAAACGGAAGCAACCAGGCATACCTTTCTCCTAATTTCATCTTGAGGACAAACCGATGACAGACAGCTATGCAAATCCTGCCTCCTATTCACACAGGAGCCGGCTCAGTAGCCCCTGCCAGCAGCGGGCGGAGGGAGGTGCACACCCAGCGCCAGTCGGTTCCGCTCTGTGCCAGAGTGCTCTTTCCCTCTCCTCAGCAAGCTTCCCTGGGCTGGCTGGGACTGCTTGGTCCAGGCACTACGCCCGATGCAATGATCTTTCGGTCAGAGTACAGGGTGATTGTGCTAAGTTCCAGGTATTAGGGAACCCTATCCACGGCTGCCAAGAGAGAGCACTGGGCTGGGAATTAGGACCAGGTTTCCCGGCTCCCTGCGGATCTCGGCTAGCTGTTGATGTCTGTCGTCCA